ACAAGCGCCTGCCAATTGCAGACGATTTGTACGCAGGGCGGAGGTTTCAGTCGCTCGAAGAGATCGGAGGAGCTTGTCTAGAGTCTAGGCAGTGTCCAAGAACGGTCCAGCCGAAGAGATCTTCTTTTTTGGAATGCGCCAAGTCCAAGCATGCAAAAAAGAGACGGTCGCCGGCAACATGAAACATAGCAGCGTAATTCTCACAGATCACGAAAATGAAGTGTAGTATAAGACATGTTGCTCAAAACTGACCAAAGGTGAACTTTTGAGACATCTGGGTTTTTGTCCGATCTAAACCCTCCCAGATCTGTACCCCATTTCGAGGTCAGTGATTAAACCTAATATGTTTGCCTTGTCTAGTCTACTTTTTGCAGGTGTTAAGATACATCGAATTCCGGCCCGGCAGGCTGGTTGAAGATCTGACCAGTTCTGGCTTTCGAGGGGGGTCAATGCCGGGGGGAGAAAAACAACTAGAGTCACATGCAAGGTCTAGAGTCTATGGGAGTTTTTGGGAGACCTTTGAGAGCCACATGACCTACCTTCACCATCTTTCACCCACAAAGCCATTCATCAAGATGATGGCGCTTATTTTGGGGGTCCTGCCTGAAGAAAACCGGGGTCCACAGTTTTTCCAGAGTTTCACTCAGGGCGTCGACCACGTGGCATCGCCAGCAAGTCCTTTCGTCCGGCTCGACTGCCCAGGCGAGCCCCAACCTCTCCATCTTGCGCACAGCCCTGCAGAAGACCGATCTCGCTTGGATCTTTGCAAGCTGGGGCCCCAAGACCGAAAGCACCAGCTCCTGCCATCCCTTTGACAGCTGGTGAACAGCTATAGTGCATGCTATAGCCCTTGGAGTGTTCAACATGAGTGGCCTGAAAAAGGTTGACCAGCTGGAATCGTGGCTATTTCACATGGGATTTCAGGTGGATCAGGATTGGGCTTCGCATCCATCACGAATCTTGGGATTGACTCTTCCAGCCGAAGGCTTGATTTGGCTCCAAGTCGTTGCCCGCGCGGGGGCCGCCGTGTTCGCGCCTGGGTACGCCGCGTGTGATGAAGATGATGGCCGCCAGTCGCTCACCCGAAAAGGTGGAAGTGAATGGCGACCCCACGAAGGGAAGGCAGGAAATGGGATTTGTGACTGGTTTCAACGGATTTTGAGGCTAGGTTCACCACCGGAGGCACATGGCAGAGTCTCTTAAGTTTTTCCTGATCAGATGTGTAAAAAAGACGCAGGAGTCTCCAAGACTGATTGTTTTCTTATAGCAGACCCGCCAGACCCTACACACCCACAGAACCACCAGGGGACTTCCTCCGTTTCTATCGCGCCTCCATCGTCCGGCTCGCTCGCGCTCTGGTGCGCGTCGTGGAGGACGGACGACGGGGAGGAAGATACCTTGAGCAAGGCCCGGAAAGCCGCCAAAGTCCATCTCAATGCTCTCAAGGCCCGGAGGTGTTTTCGGTGAGATGAGAACGGTCTTGGGAATCTGGGGTCTTGGGACAGTTGCCGCCATGTGCCAATGGATGTGGTACACCTTGTACTGAGAATGTAGAGAAATATGCCCGTTTCATGACTCACAAACTTTATGATCTCTATGTGTGCCGTACCTTTCTGATGTTCAATCAAGGGAGCACCAATCAAGCATCGTTTTCCACAACCCACCCCCTTCAGCTTCCACCCCTCAGGAAGCAGGTTGCAAGTTCAGCAAGTAGACTAGGAGTAGACGTGTGATCGAGCAACCTGTGCTTTAAGGTTTGGACGTCCTCAGCCCGGACGCAGCGCCCAGCCCAGACTAACGGACCTTCGGTCACGACCTTCGGTCACGACCACGGTGGAACTCGCGGAACTCGTCAGGAACATATGGAAGAAGCCATGGAGGCCTTCAACCGCCTTGATCCTTGGCAGTTCTGTCTTTACACTGGTTCTTTTCAACAGCCAGCAGCTAGCCAGCGGCTAGATCGGCTAGATCAGCTAGACCAGCAGCTGACCGGACAGTTTCGATGAAAAAACGCACTCAGATTTACAGTTCGAGGTCTAGACCAACTAGACCAACTGGCTCAGTCACAGGTTCACACCAGCACCGTCTCCAATAGGCATCTCCGATTACTTGTGGATCTCCATTGACCGCTTTGAAGGTCCAATTCCATTTAATCTAACCCATGTGCCATGTGATGTTTGGTGGATCCTGCTCCTCAACGCGTAATCGCCCAGCACCGCTGGCGATTTTGGTTGAAGAACTGCTCTCAAATGGAATTTGTTTGCAGCGTATGGGCCATGTCACCATGTCAAGAGACACCTGCCCACCTGCCACACATGAAACTTTCAAGAAACCTGCCACTAGAGGAGCTGTTTTGAGGAGCCTGGCTCCCCTCATCGCCTGTTTCACCTGCTTGCTATTCCGCAGCGATTCTGGCGATCCGTGTTTCGGCTCAGGAAGGCGTGATCTTCACTGCGGCGGAGGCGGTCAAGACGGAGCGGGTGAGCTTGATGGAGGATCGGATTGCTGCGGCCAAGGAGCGTCAGATGCAGGAGCCCCGTTTTCGGCCAAGGAGCTGCACATGGTACGACTCCCACGACCTCCACCATAGAACTTGCCGACTCCACGTTGATTGTTGTTTTGTAACTTAAACTTTTTCACACACGAAGCGAAGGACGGAGGTGAGAGGGAGGACCAGAGGAGAGGAGTGGAATATCATCTTCGTATCACAGGGGCCATGGAATCGATTGGCTTTTTACTTACCATCCCTCCTTTATCATGCTCCCGTTTACACCCCACGGAGTGGCAGAGATAGAGGGATGGGAGGATGCCCAGTGATCTTCCCACCCAGTGATGATTGGGTTTTGATAGTGCCAGTCCGGTTCAAAGTACACTCCAACTCACCAACATGGAAGTGAACGACCGACTCTGTTTGTAGAGGAAAGGATATTCTATTTGGATTTCTACGGTATTCTCCCAAACTAACATGTCTCACCCCCCACCTGACCCACCAACAAAACATCATTGGACCACTTTTGAGCGAGCTCTTTGCCCAGAACATGGTGAAGATTGGACAAAAAGGGCACCGTTTCTCTGTTTCACTTGGTTCCTGTGCTCCACACCGCGAGCGTGCGTGTTGGGTCGTCACTTTGCTCGGTGCAGGAGGCCGAGCTAGCCCACAAGCAGGAACAGTTGCAACGGGAGCAGGACCAGCTCTCAGCCACTGCAGCTCCCGTCCTTTTTGGGGGGGCACCAGTCCACGGTTTGGAGCAGCAGAACTGTTAGAATATGTCGGAGGGTACTCGTCTTAATTAAGATCTCGATTCCTGGTGGTGCCGCATAGCTATGTGCATTTTTGTGGAATCCTCCAAGGGTACACCCCATTGAGCCCTGCTGAGATCTCTTTGTTATGGAGGCTTCTGGTGGGAGGCGGCAATCCATAACACTAACTATATACAGCTATAAACTGTGTATTTAGATTATTTGGGCATGTTGAGCGCAGGAAGTTTCTTTGTTTATTAAACTCGGTGGGGGCACACTCACATGCGCTGCAGGCACGTGATGTACTGTGAGCACAGTGTCAACAGCAGCCAACAAAGCCACCATCAACACCATCAACACGTTGCTAAGCGACCATCAATCTCCGCAATATCCTTACCACCACCCATCGTTCCCCCCACTGGGCGCAGGACGAGCTGCGAAGAGCTCGTGAACAGCTGGAGTTGGAGCGGCGACAGCTCAAGGAGTTGAAAACACAACAGGTGGAGACCAGAACAGTTGATTGAGCCCTTCACAGTGGCCCTATATCAAGAATGAACTCAAAGTGGCTCCATACCCGTCTAGAACTCAAAGGGTCACTTTGCCTGGTAGAGGTCTTTTTTATGTTTGTTTCGCGGAGACGTTGGGTCACTCGATGCTTCAAGATGGCTTGAAGGAGAGGCCAAGAAAAAAAACATGTTGTGAGCCGATCAAGTCATGGCCATGGAATTCGCCGATGGCCAGACATGATTGTTTTCATAAAACTAGGTTCTTAGTCTTTAAAAAAACAATCTTTTCTAGAGAATTGGCCAATCCGTTGCTAAAGCTCCTCAGGGCTAACACGGTTTGGCCGGCTGGAAACGGGGAGGTCGAGGATCGGCTCTGTGGCCCTGCAGCCCACACCGTTGCCACCCTTCTCATCGACGCAGGTGGCTCAGGCCCAAGCAGCCCACACCGTTGCCACCCATGCTGTTGCGGCCGGCAACGTGCAGGTGGCACATGCAGCGCACAGCGTGCAGGCTTTGCAGGCCTGTGGTGGATGTGTATTGGAAGCGGGGTGGTATGTAGTGATTTTGGTTTTAATACAGTAGCTGGACCATCCAATGGGTGTCCAATGGACTACCCAACACTAATACAGCACCTGGATCCAATGGGTGTCCAGTGGACTACCCTACACTACTTAGGGATCTCCGTTGGACACCCATTGGATGGTCCTGGTGTGTTTTCTTGGTGACCTTGGTCAGGACCTTCGTCTCTCTCTCTCTCTCTCTCTTTCTTTGTATCTTTCGTTTTCTCTCGCTTAGCGACATCTCCTGCGGTTTGGAATTTGCACAAGCGCGCGGGACCTGCTGTTTTGTTTCGCTGAATTGGAAAGGTTTGGGTGTAGAGTGCTCGTCAGCTGCTTTGGCTGAGAAGGTCCAAGTACCTTCTGCTACCTTTTGAGGAAGTGTTAAGTCTTCGCCAGGCATCCTCTAAACCCAGTTCCGATCAAGTGTTCCTGCACATTGGAGGCCCATGGTGTCAGTGCTGCCCAAGCTGCAGTTCCAGGTCGGCCGAGACAGGCACCTTGCTTCGTCACGGTCAGCTGCAGACAAACCTAATCCAAAGCAGATCCAACCAAATTATGGTGTTGCTTGTTACCTATTGACTTGCAAGTGTGCCAGTGCCGCCAAAGAACTTTAAAAAATGCTCATGGAAAGAAAGAAAACTCAATTGAGGTTGAGATGTCAACACCAGTGGCGTCCAGCTGGAGCCCCTTGCTGATGCCTACGCGCCGGGTCCTGGTCTTCGGCGGCTTCGATGGGACGGCGGATCACCTCAGCACTGAGTGGCTTCGATGAGACCGCTTGGCGCGAGGAAGGCGGTGAGTGGGAACCCAGGCACTCCATGCAATTAAAGGTCATTATATGTCATTATGCTGTAAGACTACTACATATCTTTCTCTCCTATCTCTCTACCCAGAGGTTCATAAGTGAAACTTGCGAACATTAGCCAATCTTCGGGCTGCGTTGACTCGCAATAGCGGCCTTTACACCTTTACAATATGTTTCAAAGAAATATGCACTCAATCCAAATGAGTTTAGTGATTTTGGGATGTTTTGGGTAGGATTGAATTCTGTCCAGTACTGACATCCTCAACTCAAGTGATATTGAGTCTTCTTTGAGGTACTTCATTAGGTCCTCGTTTGCCATTCTGTGTTGAAACCGGCCATTGTAGCCTGAGCCGCCAGTCATAATTAGGATATATATATATATGTGTGTTTTGCTAAATTTTTTAATTCACTGCGAAAATATTCCTGGCTGAAACTTGTACTGGGCAATATAGATGTATTAGCTGCCAAGAACTGGCAATGGGATAATGTATATAGAGGCTTTTGAATTGAGCCATTCCTTCCACTGGCTCAAATGTACTCACAGCAAAGGTTTGACTTTACATACAAACAAAGTTAAACGAAGAGGGTAGGAATTGCACACACCACAAACGTGTATGGAAACAGCTGAGTGAAGAAAACAACAACATTGAACACACACTTGGAAACGTAAGTGCAATTTTTATGTTTCTGGTGTGTTTCCCGAGAGAAAAACAATATATGCCATGGAGATTCTGAGCAGGGTCTCACTTGCGGCATCAAATGCCTATGAATTGCTGCTGGAATCAGCTGTGCCAGTGCTCAAATTTGGGAGCTCAAAACAGGCCAGGTACTTTACAATTGAGCAAGCAAATGTTCTTTGCAAACAACCTGTACTACAAGAATTGAAGAGATAAACATTTGTGTTGGCTGTTGGTTGTTGGCTATAGTAACAAATGGGCACATGTCACATGCACACGAAAAGAATATATGTTGTGCGCAAGTTTCCCTGAGATCGAGAGCTTTCAGAAGGCTATGGCTATGATCAGCTCTATTTCAGAGGAGTGCAGGGGGGGAGTGCTAGTGCAGTGGGTAAACCTATTCTAGAATTGTTTGCAGGATGTTTGCTTCAGACTCAGGCTTAACATATTTGCATGGCAAGCAACCCCCCAAACAGCTGGCAACTGATGTGTGTTCTCTGGGATTTCTGAAGGAGGCCACCAACTTCAAGGACAACGCCACAGAGGCTTTGCGTCCAAGGACACGGAGAGGTGTGGGCAGACCGGTGTACAATGTGGGGCAGCTGATAAAGTTTATGCTACTGAAACTTGACTCCTTACTAGGATGTATGTATAGATGCTCATCTGTGTTTGCTTTGTTCTCACAGTGTGCATCATGGCATGAACACAGCTTCCTAAGGGGCCTTCATTTGCGGAATGCTGATGATTTTCGTTCTGCAGTTAGCATTGCGATCCAGCTTGCCAATGGAGCAACAGAAATAGCCAAAGCACCGAGTCTGAATTAAAGACTTTGTCAAGGCTTGCTGTTTAACAAACACCAACTTAAAGCAACTCACGAACTTAAAACATCTTAAAACCAAGTCACTAGCAAAGCACACACTTGAAACCTAACTTGTTTGATGTCCAGCCAGCCAGGAGGAAGAAGTCTGTCCAGGTGGCCCAGGTGGATCAGTAATGGCCAGGGCAAGATATCTTTTGGACGCAGCATTGATGCAACAGCGGCGCAACTTTTGGAGCTCTGCAGGGTGGGGTAAACATTGGATCTCTTTGGGCCCTCTGCCAACATCCAGCAATTTATTTATGGGTTAAGTTTTGCTTGATCTTTTTTTTGAGTGTTGAGTGATGGAGTTGGCATCTACACATGTTGATATCCTGGTTCTGTCAACGTGTCTGCCAGGGTCTGCTTTTACTTGTGCGAACATTTCAAATTTCAACGTGCAGTAAAGTCAATTCTATCATTTGATTGAATCCGACACCTAATGGCAAGAACGACTTATGTGTTATTGTATATTTGTCTTCAGCAAGGATACTTTCACCAGCCCATTATGCTAAGATCTTTTCACGCTTTCCATTGAGGATACGACGCCAGTGAGAAAGGTAAAGACCTCATGTTGGTGCAGGAGTTCTGCGCTAGGTGACTTGACCTGACTAGTCATCTTTAATACTACCGAGGAGTGCCTGTTTGTCAGTGTTTTCCCAAGGGCTGATGATGCTCTTGGCAAATACTTGGAATGTATTGAGACAAGCGGATTTCTGAAAGCACTCACTGATGAACCTGATGAACTACAGCGACCTCTGTTGACAGTGCAAGCCAGAACTCTTCCAGTTGTTTCTCTCGGTAAAGGCAGGCAAACATTCGCTCTAGGTTAAGAGTGATGGCAATAAAGAGTCTCACGACATCATAATCCTTTCTAAAATGTAAATGTGTGCTCCCTGTCAAGGTGCAGCATTTCCAAACAAATTAGATGCTTTGATCTTTGTCCTGTTACTGGAGACTGGACATAGCGAGAGGCCCTTGGAAGATTTGACCAAATACAACGAAATGGTTGTGAACAATTGTTCAGACCAGGGTTTTTTTGCCTTTGCATTTAGTATTGTTCTTGTGTTCTGGTTCTGAGCAAGCCGACCAAGCCACTGGTTGCTAGTTTTTTTGGTACAATTGGTCACTGGCTCTGGCACAGTGCGCATTTGCGCACTACTGAGGAGTTGAGATGGAGTTGAGCACTGCTCCTGCTATCAGGCTGGAGGCACTGTTGGATGAGACTGCGGAAACCTTGAGGACACTCCCATCTACAAAGCCTTCTCTTGTCCCACTGGAAGACGATACTGCTGCTGATGCTGCTTCTGAAGTGCTCCTGTCGGAAGCAACTGACAACGCTAACGATGACATCAGACCAGAGACTGAGCCAGAACGCTTGTCTCGCTTGTATCCCAATTCAATTCCCACAACAGATCTCAAGCACATTTCGGACAACCTTTTGGATCAATGTTTGTCAACTATGAGCACGTCAGTTGGCCAGAGTCTAGAAATATTTTTTTCTTTTTCATTAGGGTTTACACCTCCATTGCTACCGGCTATCTAAATTGAGCTTGCTTGACCACGACTCAAGCATGTTTAACTTTACTTGTTTAGTTTAAGGTAATCTTGTCAGATTGGCCAGGTTGGAAAACAACTTTTGTTGCTGTATATGGTTGAGACATGACAGGAACCCATTTTACTTAACCTCACTATCCGGCAACAACTGGGATGGTTTTACTGCACATTAGGCTAGTGAGATTGTTTGTATGACACTGATGAAAGTCAATGCTAAACTTGAACCAGGTGGGAAAATACTTTAGATGGATTGCGGGCTGTTGAGAAGTTGCTTCGTTGGCCTACAATGCGGGAGAGATTTCAGCAAACCTGTTGCGATCCAGCATTTGTGAATCATTTCTCTGAGTGGTCTCACTCTCTGAAATCATTGAGATGGGAAGCCATTGAGGTGTTCACCAAAGAGCTTTTAAAGCTTGAGTTCTTGCTCAAACGATTTTGGAGCAAACATAAATTTCTCAGTGGCATGAACTTCTCGGAATCTGATATCCGCGCAAGAGTGGACGCCATTGACAAAGCACTGACAAGTGATTCATGGTGGGCTGCAGTAGCGCTGACACATGACTTGTGCTTTTCCTGTGAAGTCCTCGGCCGCTGGGCAGAGGGCTGTGATTGTTGTGAAGAGGTCTTGGTTGCTGGCACAGGTGTAAAGAGGAGAAGAACCAAATGGCTCTCCAATTCTCAACAACACCTTCCTTGTCCATATCGTGGATGCAGAGCTGTTCAAATGGCATCTGGTGATTGGATCACAAAGTTGGAATCTGTTATGTCCGAGGGCCAAAGTAGATTATCAGAATATGTTGTCAAGGGCGACCATGCAAACATTCCACTGTATTTGGATGAATGGGTCAGAGCACGTTCCAAGTTCTGGGGTCAAGTTCGTATCAAAATGGCGCACTTTGATCAATTGCCATGGAAGCTTTGCTCCTCAGCTTTAGCTCACTGAGTGTTTTTCCCCACAGTGCACTGTAGTTGAGACTGAAAACCCTACCAGTTGCAACAAATCTGGCTTAGCTTCCTTGTATCAATCCCAAGCTAGGTGCCCTTGCTCACGACAATCCTTTCACTGTTTGCAGAGCAGCAAAAGATGTTTTGGCACTATGGAATCTTGGTGGGAAGGGTTGTTTGCATGCTCAATCTCAACGCTTCTTGAATCCTGCCTGGAAGGGCCTTCATCAGGATGCAAATCCTGATGACCCTCCTTTGCGCCCATTGGTTGAACGGCTAGCAAAAGGAGAAACTGTTGCTGAGATGTACAAGCTGGAACCAGATGCTTGCAAACCTCTGGTGAGGTGGCTCTCAGCGTTGAAACTCGTTCTTTTGATCAGCATATAATAAGTTTGTTCATTCAAGAAAGCTGGTCACTGGTCACTTCACTGCTTCAAACTCACTGCTTCACTGGTCCACGGCCACTGCCAACACCAGGTCACAAAACCAGGTATGTCAATGTCAATTGGTGGGCTTTGCTGTTTGCACTCAGGTTAGGGTTGTTACGAGGAGCGTTGAAGGCCTACGCAGCCACATTAGCAGAATCTTAAAGCGAGCACCAGCAGCCAAGCTACCAGCGATTTCATTCGAGCTTCGTTCCAAGCAACTTCTCGAGCTTGCAGCTTTTCATCCAGCAGTCACTTGACTGAACAGGGATTGGACTTGTTAAGTGGAGAGTGGAGATGTTACCTTTGGAACAGTCGTTCATGGCCAAGATTTTTTGGCTTTGTTTTCCTTAAGGAACTGCGAAGCTTAGAGTACACAGTTGCTGGCATTGAGCGGAAGCAAGGCTTTCAACGTCTTGTGTTGCACCTTGTTCTTCATCAGTCAAAGCTTGTGGTGAGTTTTATGTTGTTTTTTTCTTCTTGAGAAGTCTTAG